AGTTGTTCGCAGATTGTATCAACTATTCTTTCTTATACATAGACCATTACAATAGATCAGTCGAGGACATTTGTGAATACTCCTTCTCGTATCGATCACCATTTGGCCAAGTATAAACACCTTGACCCGCTTTCTTGTCGTCGATCCAATCACCTGTATACTTCTCCCCACTGGCATGGTAAAACGTGCCTTTTCCGTTCTTCTTGTCATCTTTGTATTGTCCCATCAGTTGTTCGTAGATTGTATCAACTATTCTTTCTTATACATAGACCATCACAATAGACCAGGAGAAGAGATTTGTGAATACTCCTTCTCGTATCGACTGCCACTGGGCCTAGCAAAAACACCTTGACCCGCTATCTTGTCGTCGACCCAATCACCTGTATACTTCTCCCCATTGGCATAGTAATACGTGCCTTTTCCGTGTTTTTTTCCGTTCTTCCATGCTCCTTCATATTTGTTTCCATTTTTGTCAGTCCAGATTTTAAATGTTGAGGATTCGTTATTTGGCAATGCTTCTTTGTAATCTAGGAAGTAACAATCATTGTCTACTTAACCTATTACACAGTAACTACTCACCCATTTGAGGTTTGATTGATGTAGTGACACCCATATTTGCAAAGGATGATGTTAATTCTTGATCATTTTCATCGACCAATTCGCGCAAGTGTATCACATTTAATGACGTATGATCTAATGCATCACTGACAACACGAAGTCGAGTACCCAGTGGAATAATAACTTCATTTTCTTCTGGAAAATTGCTATATATTGATATAGCTTTTCCATTCTTTACTTCAATCATGAACAATGTTGATATGGATCCAAGAAACTGTTTGACGACTTTAATTGAAGATGAACACGAGCTAAAACACCACCAAGTTAGCTCATCGTTTTCTTTGTAATTTTGACTAACGTCACCATTGATACCACGCCATAAGTTGATTTGAAGACTAGGTAGTTTTTTTAATGCAGTATCAAATAATCTGAGATAACCATGCCATGGTATTAATACAGATCGATCTTTCTCACGAAGAACTCCATTGAGTATTCGATAGAGACTTTGTTCACCCCAATCCATAGTATATAGATAAATTGACGCTGATTCTTCACGAGTAAGACCATGTTCTGAAGGAAAATGGCATTCACTCTTTGCAATTTTAATAAATTCATCTAATTGATCTATTTTAGAGACAATAGGATCAAGAGCTTGTCGAAGTGGAAGAAGCGGATGAGTGCGATATCCATAGACAGGTGGAAGTCGTGTTGGTTTATGATCGACGTTAGTGAATCGAAGCATTATTATAGAATATGATGAATTCCTTTGTTGATCGTGATGAAGTTACGCTTACTAGTGATGAATATACGACGTTAAGATTGGAAAGTTTTTCGAGCTTTCAGATGTTTTTTTGTTTTCAATTTGAATTACTGCAAGCCTTTATATGTGAAGTCAACAAAAGCAGCATTATCTTTCTTCATTTTTTCTTTTAGGTTGAAATAAATTTCTGAGATAAGATAAAAGTGATATTACTTTAAAAGTGAAGACCATTTGTTGACATTGGTGTGCGCAGATATATATTACTCATAGAAAGAAAAAGTCAAATGAGATAAGAAGAAAGAACGAAGCAAGAGTAATGTGGAGAATAAATATTCATAAAGTTCACGAGCAGTCGGAAGTAGATTATGGTTGACTTTTTACAATAGTTGTACTGCAGCTTATTAAGTATTTAATAATATAGTCGAATTTCATATTCATTAAATGTTCAACGATGAGTTTATAAAAGTGACTTTCATTTTTATATCAGAAGGTGTTTTATATCGCTTTCAGAGTTTGAAATTTGAACTTCGCTTCATAACATATAAAATTAAGCTTTCGAATTAAATAGTCTTATAAGGCGCTAAAAAAAATGTGAAATATTTAAATCATTGGAATTGAAAATATAATTGACTAAGCTCACTAAATGATGGTTTTCATTTCCTTCTAAATTTCACCATTCAATGTGATCATTTGATTTGAGTCTCAAGATCTAGTTCTGATTACAAAGATCATTAATGATATTTTAAAACAACGATGCATAACTTTTCAATTTTGCATGAAATTGCATTTATTATCAATTCAACAAAGTTCTGATAGTTCTTTATGAATCGATAAAATATCATCTTTATCCTTACATTTTGAGACATGTTTTAGATTAAATTCTTGAAGATGAATGAAATTTTGGTCAGTACCTTCTGTCTGAACATAGGTTCATTGGTTAAATGATGCAATGTTCGAAACATTTCTTTTACGCACAATACATCAAGTTTGTTTTCTCTAGTGTGTATATGCATCAACAAGTCAATCCTCATGGTGAAGCAAAACAAAGAAAAAGAAAAAGAATTCGTTGATTTTGCGGAGAAGGTAAGCAAAACAGCCACGTATTTATTTTCTATGGTAATGAAGAAAAAATGAAATCAAGATAACGTCTTGCAAGCTGGAAAGAAATAACGTCTATGGTTGTATTAATGTGTTCGGACCGGCAGACATTTGTTTTTCTTTCGTATAAAGCGCTTCTTTGAGATGCCATTCATCCAGTTCCAACAGAGAATGGAGAATTTCGTCATCGATCTATTGGAATTTTTTTACACGTCACAATTGTTTTGGTTGATTTATATAGAGAACGATGGAGAAAAGGATGAATGCGCCTCACTTTGCTATGACTTGTCGAAAGAATAAGTAGGATATATATCAAAATGAGTTGCGAAATAAAAAAAAAGAACTTCTCTAGTTGTATATGGACATACTTCTCATGAATAGGCCCTATCATACTAAAACTTTCATCCTATTCAAACACTCCAACAATAGGAAAGTTTCAAAAGTATGATCGGAACAAAACTTACATCATTGTATACATTAAACAGCATTAATGTTTCTTTTCTCAATGTAGTGGCGCAATCAAGAATGGTCTACATCGACTGCCATCCTATCAATGGAATAAAGAAAAACATAATAATGGGTACGGTAGAGGAAATTGCCGATATTTGATAGGCTGTTTTCTCAACCTATGCTCGATCAGAAAACTTCGTTGTACTGTTAAAAGATAGAGAATTTTGCTTCGATTTTATAGATATGTTCCCTTTAAAATGAACTTTTGTTCTGTTCTTGTAATGCTAAAAGTGCTGGCTACCACAAAAACATAATTTGCTCAATATTTTACTAGAATAAAATGTCATTTTTCTTCGTTAAATAATTTCATCGATGCTATTCAAACCCAGTATGAAAAAAACGTAGAAACGTATTTGTTTTTGAGACACAACACCAAATTCTCTGATAAATATTTTTTCTTTTTAAAAGCCACTTGCAAAAAAAAAAGGTCTATTTGTTCATTTTTGGCGCCTTTTTGCCAAGGAAAAGATCTTAGCTTCATCACTAGGTTACAAATGCAATTCAGTTCTTATGATAAAGAGCATTTTGTAGAGCTTGAAATTCTGCATCTATTGATATAAAAAAGAATACTTTTTTTTTATACAAATCAATTTTTCAAAACATTAGCAACGAAACCTATGATTCTGTTGGCTGAGCATACTTTTTTTTTAGTGTTTTGTGTTTTTATTTTAAGTAGAAACAGCTAAATGTATAAAAACCAACATAACAGTAGATATACCGAAAAATTTTACATCTCTTACCACTAAGAAGAAATTTTTGAACTAAAATTAACTGGACAACTATTTCTGTTCAAAAGTGTCTCATTTTACAGTTTAGCAAAATATGTTTTTGTGATGTACAGTACCTTTAATGCCTCAGGAAAAAGAACAAATGCTCATTTTGAAAGGAACATATCAATAAAATCCACGCAAAATTTTCCATCTTTTAACATCAGAACAAAACTTTCTGAGCCAACTTAACTGGAGAAAATAATCTATCAAAAATCGGCAATTTCTTATGCCATACCCGTTAATTTGTATCATTGACATTATATTTTATAGATTATCCCTAAGATCGTAGAACACTGCCCACCACTCACGATCTCCTGGTCACATCACTATTACTTGTTTGCAAAATATCAGGTTGATTGGATAATCTCATTTGGAGACGTTCCATCGTGAGTGGAATGAGCATTTTTATTTCTTAGACATGTATATCATGATAAATATGAAATATACACTTTCATAACTCATCATGATTTTTCGTCAGATCCTTTTTTATATCTTTTTAATATTTTTATTTGTCTTCTAAGATAGAATAATTTGATGATAGACTGAAATATTTTTGAGTTTTATTTATTTAGATGAAATAAAAATATCACACATGCCACAACTACATAGTGTGATAGAACAGTCACAATAGTTTCATTATAATCCAAGTTATAATAAGTACCAAAGATAAAGCTATTGATAACCTTAAAGAAAAATTATATTCCGTAATGTTATTTTTCAATTTTGCTTTACTTATCTGTATATTGAGAAACTTGCTAAACATATAAACAAAAATTAAATTAAATAGGAGAAAAAGACAAGAATAATGGAATTACCTGTCGATATTTTCACAGTTGTTGTCGATGGTGCTTGACATGATCGATTATCGATCAAAGCAAAAAACTGAACACAATGATTGTAGGCATCACTTACATATAGATTGCCATTACTATCAAATGCCAAATCAGTTGGATGATGAAATTGATTATTTTCATTCACTTCACCTAATCATAAAAATAGTTCATTTTTTCTTCTTCGCGAGTTCGGTAGCATAAAATAATCAGAATTTACGCACATCAATAACAGAAGCCTTCTGATGATCATTGAGCTCACGAACTCGCATTTTTGTTTTCTTTTCTTTCTCAAATGTCCTTATCTTGGTTGTGGGTGTGGGTGTGTTTCTTCGATTCACCCAGCCACCAATTCTCAATCTGTAATTAGCTTCTGTTTACACTTCGTACATATGTAAAATTTTAATTTTAAAAAATGTATTGATACCACCTACAGGATATGTTCCTAGCTGAGATCGGAGTAAGTCATGCTTTGGGATTTTGATTTATTGATAGTAATATAATCTCTTCGTGTTATCGGTCACATCCTACATAAATAACAAATTTTCATTGCTATTTTAACTTGCAAAAGTTTACTACTTTGAAGATTCTGACTAAGATACCTCTCTGTTGTTATTTTATTGTATAGCGGATTCTCTTCTTAAAATAGCTACATCATGTTTTTAATATGTTCGTAAGGTTACTCAAGAGTTTCTAGTAATACTAGATACTAAAGATTTTTTTGTCATTAGTCAGGCAAATACATCTCTGCTATATACATGAATGTGTGTTTCACAATGACGTATGACTCCTGAATTTCTTTTTTGTTTTCGAGAAACATTCAGAACAGCCTAAGGTCTTCGACGTACTACATTTAATCGAGCTCCAAATTTTTACAAGTAATAGACATTGCTTCAAGTAGATATTTTCTTAAAAAACATTGTTTTCTTAGTCTTTTGAAAACGGTAGGTGAATAGATGGGATAAGTATAGGTTTTCTCTTCACCCGAATTTACACCTACACACTCAAAATGTATTATACTAAGTCAAATATAAAGTAGCCTCTACATAATATTAGTACAATCTAATATTCAAGCTTTTAAAAAGAGCTATCTATCTGTTCTAGGGAAATTCGCAAAAGAGGACTGCCGTTAATAAAAAGAATGTATGTTGCTTTGAGAGTTGTATTGGTTTATGAATTGTTTCATCACTAACCTCCAATAAATATTGTTGTGAGACTTCATTATTTTTACTAATATTTGATAGCTTCACATTTTCCATACATGTGAGATAAGCAATAATGGCCAGTTTATTAGAAATTAAAGCTAAACGACTGCTGCATACAAGAGTACTAATCGCACAAATCTTCACAACAAAATTTATGCGTAGTTTCTTTTGATTGTCATTTCACTTACTTTAAAAGGGCCATATGCAAGATAAAAAAAATATGGTGTTCTCAGACTTTCCAATTTTTTCGTACGCTTACTAACAAGTAAAATGAAAGATAATAAAAAGATCTCACGGAAGCTTTTCTTGTTGACAACAACCCAGAAGAAACAAAAAGCACAGAAAAAAACTGTTTCAGAGCACTGTTTCAGGATTGAGATGTGTAAAAAAAAATTTAGTTGGGATAAGATGGCTTACATTCGAAAATTTTCTTTATAAAATTGTCTAAGTGCATCTTTCCATATTTCATGAAACATTAATTCGGCTATTTTTAAACAATTTTTTCTTCACTAATGAAAGCTAA